AACTATTCAACAGAAATGTTGGCATCATGAATTAAACATTTTACAGCACTTGAATATTATAAAGGATAATAACTGATAACTGCTGATATGGACCATGTACTCAAATAATCTGTTTTAATCAGATCAATGCTATAGAATTGTATATTACAAATCTGTACAGCTGTGCAACTGTTGCTGCCCCATTGAGAATTCGCACTCTGAAAAGCCAATCGCTGCAGAAAAGAAAAGAAAAATATAACCCAATATTACATTAATAACTAGCAATATTTGTCCCAAAGAAAGTTTTTCTGCAATCAAACTGATTCTTTCCCAAAGTATTACCTTGTGGATGTTCTTTAAACACGTCTTTAGTTGAAAGGTGCAGGCACCTAACTGAAACGAAAAAAGAAAATTAAAACTGAAGACTGAAAAAATAATCTAACTTAACTATTTTTGTAGATCCTATTCATGATTGGTATATTATTGAAAATGTTCCCCTCAGATAATTGTCCTTTTTGGGTCCAGGGGTGGACTGACAACTCATGGGTCCCCCGGGCAATAGGGGATCATGGGGCCCCTGTGTCCTTGCCCAAACTCAAAAAAGCCTATGAAAAATGGACAAGGGGCATCTCCTGGGGCCCCCTACTGACCCCGGCCCTCGGGCAGTGCCCAAGTTTCCAAATGGTCAGTCCGCCCTTGTTTGGGTCCCTTATGTTTGCTTGTCACACCACATATCTGGGTCCTTCTGCAGTACACCCTATTATAGTGAGCCTATGTAGATATATTATTTTTATTTATTTAGGGTTCCGTTGTGTGCTCCGCTATTTTTTGGTGAGATATGTACTAATGTATGTCATTTCTCTATTCTCTATACTGTTACTGTTCTACCTATACCTATACGGTCCTGAAGAATGTGAAACGCATTGATCATTGAAGCTGGACAAGCTACAATTACAGCCTATGCGGCTACACAATTAATTGATGAGGAGTTTGTGTATGTTGGGGAATTTTTTTTCCCCAGTCTTTTTTTAAATGTATGGACTGTTTCAATGTATTTCATACTGTTTTATATTTATTTAGAATAAAATGTTATTTTTTTTATGAAATGAAGTGTGGTCTCATGTAGTGTCTATAAAGTCCGCCATTGTACTGTCTAGGTGTCTAGCAGTTGTTTTTTCCATAAAACTGAAGAGTATTTCAATAAGTCAATGCAATATAATTTTGGTAACCAGCTCTAGGACAGGGTCTACACAAGACAAAGATATCAAGTGAGTCCTCCCCCCACATACAAACCCTTATATTGTGTCATTTGTACCTCCTTTTCCTTTAATTTCTAGGTCACGTGACCACATTTTTTCCAGGTCAGAAGTTGGGCTTAGCCATAGCAGGTCACATGTCCAAGTGAAGTGCGCTGTCAAGCATATGATCAGCCTGCAGGTTCCTTTAGGCTACATGTACACTGAAATTGCCATAGATGTTAACTCTACTGGCATCAGAAAAACTCTTAATGTAGCAAAAATGCGTGTAAACGTGATACCACGTTTAGCGCTTGGATGTTTATTAATATCATTGGCCAGAGTATTGATATGAATAAATGCCCAAGTGCCAAACATGGTTGGCGCTTAGTCACATTTACATGCATTTGGAATTTTTTGGCAAAAACATTCCTCTCCTGAACGCAATTCTTCTGTGTTCAGGAGAAGGATATTTAACTGCCCCTAAACTTTGCTGCTCCTAAACTCTGGTAAAAGCCTATGCATGCATGGATACCTAAGATTTTATTGAGTTTAGTTCAGAGGCTTTGGCAAAAAAAAAGCCAAAAGCTCCTAAACTCACGTTTAGGAGCAGCAGTGTACATGAGACCTGACATAGTTACATAGTTAGTCTGGCTGAAAAAAGACAAAAGTCCATCCAGTTCAACCATAGGAAAAAAAAAAAAAGTTATAATCCTACACCCACAGTTGATCCAGAGGAAGGAAAAAAAACCCAGCAAAGCATGATCCAATTTGCTTCTGCAGGGAAATAAATTCCTTCCTGATCCCCCGAGAGGCAATCAGATATTCCCTGGATCAACTTTACCTATAAATGTTAGTAACCAGTTATATTCTGTATATCTAAGAAAGAATCCAGGCCTTTTTTTGAAGCAATCCACTGAGCTGGCCAGAACCAACTCTTGAGGGAGTCTATTCCACATTTTAAAAGCTCTCACTGTGAAGAAACCTTTCTGTGTTTGGAGATTAAATTTCTTTTCCTCCAAACGTAAAGAGTGCCCCCTTGTCCCCTGTGATGACCTCAGGGTGAATAGCTCTACACCGAGTTCACTATATGAACCACTGATGTATTTATATATGTTGATCATATCCCCCTTAATCTCCTCTTCTCAAGAGAGAATACATTCAGTTCCTCTAATCTTTCCTCATAGCTGATCTCCTCCATGCCTCGTATCAGTTTGGTTGCCCTTCTCTGCACTTTCTCCAGTTCCCCAATGTTCTTTTTGTGAATTGGTGCCCAAAACTGAACTGCATATTCCAGATGAGGTATTACTAATGATTTGTACCGGGGTAATAGGATATCTCTCTCTCTGGAGTCTATACCTCTTTTAATACAAGAGAGGATTTTTGCTCGCTTTAGAAACCGCAGCTTGGCATTGCATGCCATTATTAAGCTTGTGATCTACCAGAACCCCAAGATCCTTCTCCACCATTGATTCCCCCAGTTGTACCCCCCCAGTATGTATGATGCATGCATATTCTATCTATCTCTCAACCCCCCACCTCACCCCCTTGGTCTCAGCCCGAATCACACACCTACTGAGCGACATATCAGACTGGATGTCGCTCCACTTCCTTAAATTGAACCTCTCCAAAACCGAGTTTCTTGTCTTCCCCCCAGCCCGGACACCACCCCCCATTGATTTCTCCATCACATCCAACAACGCTACCATCAAACCCGCCCCGCAGGCCAGAGTACTGGGTATCATTCTGGACTCCAACCTATCCTTCCAGCCCCAAGTCCAATCTTTAACAAACTCGTGCAGACTCCACCTCCGCAACATCGCCAAAATCCGCACGTTCCTAACCCCAGAAACCACTAAACAGCTCATCCACTCCCTCATCATATCACGACTCGACTACTGCAACTCCCTCCTCACTGGCCTGCCTCGCCGCTGGCTATCCCCGCTTCAGTCCATCCTGAACACGGCTGCCAGACTCATTCACCTTTCCAACCGCTCTGTCTCCGCCACCCCCCTCTGCCAATCTCTCCACTGGCTTCCGATTGCGCAACGGATCAAATTCAAAATCCTAACGCTGACGTACAAAGCTGTCCACCATACTGCCCCGTACTACATCTCTGACCTAATATCCAAGTACCGCCCAACACGCACACTCCGCTCCTCACAAGACCTCCTTCTCTCTAGTTCCCTGGTCTCCTCCTCCCATGCCCGCCTCCAGGACTTCTCCAGGGTGTCACCCATCCTCTGGAACTCCCTGCCCCAACCCATCAGATTATCACCTACTCTCCTCTCCTTTAGGCGCACCCTGAAAACCCATCTCTTCAGGGAAGCCTACCCCACCCCCTGCTAACTTGCCGACCTCCTCCACTCTTCCTACCACTCCATCCCCCACAGCTATCTCCTCCTGTGCCACCACCCCCTCCCTCCTAGATTGTAAGCTCGAAAGAGCAGGGCCCTCGATCCCCTCATGTTTTGCATTGTATTGGTATTGTTCTGTCACATGTTCTGTCTCCCTTTGTAATGTACAGCGCTGAGCGAACTATTGGCGCTTTATGTATAATAATAATAATAATAATAATATTCTTAGCCCCTGAATGCATAACCTTATATTTATCAACAATAAATCTCATCTGCCACATAGTTGCCCAATTAAACAGTGCATTGAGGTCAGCTTGGAGACATCCTGTAAGGACGTTATTCCACGGCACAGCTTGGTGTCATCTGCAAAGACTGAAATGTGATTTTTAATCTCAGACTATATCGTTGATAAATATATTAAAACGTAAGGGTCCCAACACTGCACCTTGGGGTACACCACTGACAACCCTAGACCATTCTTCTTCCTTGATCATCATGCAGACTAATTGGCTTCAGTATAGGTAAGTAGACAAGAAGTTTTGTTTTTCTTGACATGCATGCCTGCTCTAGGTCTGCAACTCAGAAAGTACCAAAGCCAGATACACAGCATTTCCAAAAAAAGTCCACAATGGCAACCCACATTTTTCTATCAGTACAGTTTCTAGTACTGCTATGAAAAATATCCATCTAGGCCAGCGGTTCTCAACCTGGGGGTCGCAACCCCTTTGGGGGTCGAACGACGCTTCCACAGGGGTCGCCTAAGACCATCGGAAAACACATATTTCCGATGGTCTTAGGAACCGAGACACCGCTCCTCGCCTCCGCCGCCGCCACCACCGGCGTCTCCAGGTGTGGGCGGGATGACATGCCGCCCCTGTCATCTGGACACACCTCGAGATCAATCCTCGCCTGTGATTGGCCGCCGGCACTGTAGCTCAGGAGAGGCACACAGGCGGCCAATCACCGGCAAGGAGGTGGAGCTTGGAGAGGAGGAGCCGAGCATCACCACGAAGATCGAGCGAGTGAAGAGGAGGAGAGCGGCTGGAGAAGGAAGACATCTGACAGGTAAGTGTCGGTACCATGGGAGAGGGAGGGAGCGAGCGAGCCCAGGCTGGAGCAGGGGTCTGCAAGGTAAGTATCATTGGTGTCAGTGGGAATAGTGCCCCATCATTGGTGTCACTAATACCAATGATGGGGCACTATTCCTCCCACTGACACCAACGATGGGGCACTATTCCTCCCCCAAATGACACCAACGATGGGGCACTATTCCTCCCCCACTGACACCAAGGATGGGGCACGATTCCTCCCCCCACTGACACCAACGATGGGGCACAATTCCTCCCCCCACTGACACCAAGGATGGGGCACTATTCCTCCCCCCACTGACACCAAGGATGGGGCACTATTCCTCCCCCCACTGACACCAAGGATGGGGCACTATTCCTCCCCCCACTGACACCAAGGATGGGGCACTATTCCTCCCCCCACTGACACCAAGGATGGGGCACTATTCCTCCCCCCACTGACACCTATGATGGGGCACTATTCCCCCCACTGACACCAATGATGGGGCACTATTCCCCCCACTGACACCTATGATGGGGCACTATTCCTCCCCCCACTGACACCAATGATGGGGCACTTCCTCCTCCCACTGACACCAATGATGGGGCACTATTCCTCCCCCACTGACAGCAATGATGGGGCACTATTCCTCCCACTGATACCAATGATGGGGCACTATTCCTCCCACTGATACCGATGATGAGGCACTATTCCTCCCACTGACACCGATGATGGGGCACTATTCCTCCCACTGACACCGATGATGGGGCACTATTCCTCCCACTGATACCGATGATGGGGCACTATTCCTCCCACTGATACCGATGATGGGGCACTATTCCTCCCACTGACACCGATGATGGGGCACTATTCCTCCCACTGACACCGATGATGGAGCACTATTCCTTCCACTGATACCGATGACGGGGCACTATTCCTCACACTGATACCGATGACGAGGCACTATTCCTCCCACTGACACCGATGACGAGGCACTATTCCTCCCACTGACACCGATGACGGGGCACTATTCCTCCCACTGATACCAATGACGGGGCACTATTCCTCCCACTGATACCAATGACGGGGCACTATTCCTCCTCCCACTGATACCAATGACGGGGCACTATTCCTCCCCCACTGACACCAATGATGGGGCACTATTCCTCCCACTGATACCAATGATGGGGCACTATTCCTCCCACTGATACCAATGATGGGGCACTATTCCTCCCACTGATACCAATGATGAGGCACTATTCCTCCCACTGACACCTATGATGGGGCACTATTCCCCCCACTGACACCAATGATGGGGCACTATTCCTCCCCCCACTGACACCAATGATGGGGCACTATTCCTCCTCCCACTGACACCTATGATGGGGCACTATTCCTCCCACTGATACCGATGATGGGACACTATTCCTCCCACTGATACCGATGATGAGGCACTATTCCTCCCACTGACACCGATGATGGGGCACTATTCCTCCCACTGACACCGATGATGGGGCACTATTCCTCCCACTGACACCGATGATGGAGCACTATTTCTCCCACTGATACCGATGACGGGGCACTATTCCTCACACTGACACCGATGACGGGGCACTATTCCTCACACTGATACCAATGACGAGGCACTATTCCTCCCACTGACACCAATGACGAGGCACTATTCCTCCCACTGACACCAATGATGGGACACTATTCCCCCCCACTGATACCAATGATGGGGCACTATTCCTCCCACTGACACCAATGATCGGGCACTATTCCTCCCACTGATACCAATGATGGGACACTATTCCTCCCACTGATACCAATGATGGGGCACTATTCCCCCCACTGACACCAATGATGGGGCACTATTCCTCCCACTGATACCAATGATGAGGCACTATTCCTCCCACTGATACCAATGATGGGGCACTATTCCTCCCACTGACACCAATGATGGGACACTATTCCTCACACTGACACCAATGATGGGGCACTATTCCTCCCACTGATACCAATGACAGGGCACTATTCCTCCCACTGACACCAATGACGAGGCACTATTCCTCCCACTGACACCAATGACGGGGCACTATTCCTACCACTGATACCAATGACGGGGCACTATTCCTCCCACTGATACCAATGACGGGACACTATTCCTCCCACTGACACCAATGACGGGGCACTATTCCTCCCACTGACCCCACTGACAGGGCACTATTCCTCCCACTGACACCAATGACGGGCACTATTCCTCCCACTGACACCAATGACGGGGCACTATTCCTCCCACTGACACCAATGACGGGGCACTATTCCTCCCACTGACACCAATGAAAGGGGCACTATTCCTCCCACTGACACCAATGACGGGGCACTATTCCTCCCACTGATACCAATGACGTGGCACTATTCCTCCTACTGCAAAATTACAGTTATGAAGTAGCAACGAAAATAATTTTATGGTTGGGGGTCACCACAACATGAGGAACTGTATTAAGGGGTCGCGGCGCTAGAAAGGTTGAGAACCACTGATCTAGGCAATAGTACTTGTGTCTGACCATGTTCATGCACACCAGTATGCAGTGATGTAGTTATATTTTTGTGCGTTAGCAGTGGACGCATCAACTTCTGGGGTTCACTGTAAATTAAGGGTCTGCTGGGCTGTCTGGAGAATGGCTGATAAAGTAGGCAGCTTGAGCTGATGCTGGTTGTGTCAACATGATGAGCATAGGCATGTCCACTTATAGTTAGTTTTAGGAGCACGCAAAGGAGGGTGGAAAATGCTGCAATAAGTAATATGTTTAACTACTTTGCACCGGTGCCTCCCAGTCCGTTAAGAGTTTTCAGAAGTTGGGAGGCAGGATGATGTTTTAGGGTCATGTGACCGCCGTGATGTGCTGTCACGGTGGTCACATGATCAGAAAAGGTCCCTATCCCAAGAGGAGATCGGGACCTTTCCGTGAGTTACGGACATATGTGCTGTGAGCGCGCAGGGCGCGCGCTCTCAGAACATGTGTATTTTCAAATGGTATGCAAATATGTGGCCTCTCTGCATCAAGGCCCAGATGCCAAGAGGCTGCATATTTGTGTGCACTCAACATCTAGGGGTTAAGAAAACAAAAGTAATACATATTTTCCTTTACTTTAACAGTTGCACAAAATCTATACCACCCAGTTTTCCTAAAAATGTTTCCGCTGTTATCAAAAATGGAATCTAACCATTTACGAGAAAACACTTCCATCCATGTTGTTTCTGGGTCTTTATTACGTATTAGTATTAAAATCACTGTAAATGTTCTGCTGCCAATGTAACAGGTGCCCAAAGTATGGTGAGCTGGCAGGTGCAGCTAGTACTTGTATGACTAGCCATGACAAAACCTTTGCTATAAGTATGTGCACATATGTTACGGTGCGTGTGTATATCACACAAAAGTAGGATCATATGCCACAACCAGCCCAGCTTTAGCTTTTTAAGGCTTTATGCACAAGGCCACAAAAAAGTGGCATTTCCGTAACTTTTTTTGAAAGGAGCTGTATAGTTTTTGATGGGCTCATGCCCACAACTCAGTTTCTGCAGAGTGGACACGTTTTGCCGTATGGGCGGCTGGGAGTAAACAGACTCCGCTTTCCGTTTACAGCTGTCTACTTCCGATCCGCTCCACCTAAACAGAAAAAGACAGAGTCCCCTTCCATTTTATTTACCAGTCCTGACTGGACCCAGAGGTAGGTGGGTATAAATGGACACAAGTCTGTTTACACCCACCTGTCCATAGGAATGAATGGACCTTCTGAACAGGTCTTTCTGACCTGACCTGATTGGAACGCCTGTGTGAAAGCGGCCTAAATATTTGTGATTTGTGTTTACATATGTACAAGGTATAGTGCAAATTGACTCTATTAAAGCTATCTGCATCCTAGCAACAGAAGGATGCTGTATTCTAGCAACAGAAGGATTCTGTGTTCTAGCAACAGAAAGACGTTAGGTAACCTCATTAAGAAACCGCCTGCATCCTAACAATGGAAGGACGCTAGGTAACCTCATTAATAAGCCGCCTGCATCCTAGCAGCAGAAGGACGCTAGGTAACCTCATTAAGAAGCCGCCTGCATCCTAGCAATGGAAGGACGCTAGATAACCTCATTAAGAAACAGCCTGCATCCTAACAATGGAAGGACGCTAGGTAACCTCATTAAGAAGCCGCCTGCATCCTAGCAACAGAAGGACACTAGGTAACCTCATTAAGAAACCGCCTGCATCCTAACAATGGAAGGACACTAGATAACCTCATTAAGGAGCCGCCTGCATCCTAGCAATGGAAGGACGCTAGATAACCTCATTAAGAAGCCGCCTGCATCCTAGCAATGGAAGGACGCTAGATAACCTCATTAAAAAGCCGCCTGCATCCTAGCAACAGAAGGACGTTAGGTAACCTCATTAAGAAGCCACCTGCATCCTAACAATGGAAGGACGCAAGGTGGCTTCATCCAGAATCCACCTGCATCCTAGAAATAGGGCCATGTACACTGTAAGGCTGTACGCATGTAAACATTGCTCAAACGTTACATGCGTACAGATAATTCTTTTCACAAGATGTTGCCACTAAGTTTTGCCAGCAAAATCTTGCGCCCTAGCTGTCATATTTTTCATATCGCTATGTGTAAGAGCCCTTTCTGACCAGGCAGTATGGGAATGTTAAAGATCCTTACCAAAGAAGGTTCAATAGCCATAGCTGTTCAGTCCTGTCCTGTTTCGTAGACATGTAATAGAGATGTCTGTCATGAAGAAGGAAATAAAGCAGGAAACCCCAAAATGTAGTCGCACCCTGTGCCGTGTGTGATAAAAGTCATGCTTCTCCGTTCAGGCTGACAGGCCACATTGCAGCTCTGTGTTACACTTAAACAAAGTAGAAAAGTGAGACTTGGAGCAAGTTTCCTGGGAGTGGCCATGTTGGAGGCTGGGTGACACGTTACCTGACGGGGCCCACCCAGGTCATTAGGCTGCAGGGACTGTGACGTTTATTTGAACTTCTAGGGAATTCACCTAATCACAAGTAATTGTAGTAAATCTGCAAGGAATAATGCCTGCAGTGCAGACGCTAATAGTACAGAATAGGAATGAATTGAAAACAAGCTCGGTGCCCCCATCTCTATTTGTCTACACAGTTCAGACACAGCCCTGCCATTACCATGAATTCATACTTTCCTCATTTAGGGCTCATGTACATGGACTTTTCACATGCATTTGCCATGTGTTTATCATGCATTTATGTTGAACTATATAGAGGAATAAAAGCAAAGACGAATATATTTCCTGAAACCGACATTAAAACAGAAATCCTGTCGATTTTTTAAACCTGCATTGTATAGAACATGTGAGTTAGTTCTCAATGGGAGTATGGCACTGAAGTATGGTTGGACTTTCTGTAATAATTACACTTTCATTAAGGATAGATAGTATAGTTCTCACTATATTTCCAGCGCTGCGGCTATGAGAGCACAGAAGATGCAGTGTTTGTCCACCCCTCCTCTCCCCTTGTCCATTCACAGAGCACTTTATAGTCTGTTAATGCTACACAGAATATTTATTTATTATTTATTTATTACAGGTACTTACATAGCGCCATCAATTTATGCAGTGCTTTACATATATATTGTACATTCACACCAGTCCCTAACCCTCAAGGGGCGTACAATCTAACCCATATGGAAGAAAAATTTTATTTGAAATATATTGTTCCTAGATTGTAAGCTTGAAAGAGAGCAGGGCCCTCAATCCCCTCATGTTTTGCATTGTATTGTTCTGTCACATGTTCTGTCCCCCTTTGTAATGTACAGCGCTGAACGAACTATTGGCGCTTTATAAATACTGTATAATAATAATAATAATATTGTAAAAATATTTTTCCCAAATATATTGCCATATATTTGAAATGCTACAATTTTGGCCATACTCATATTCTTCCTAGAGAACACCTATCCTCTTGCTCTAAGATAGCATCACTGCGTGACATAACGTGGTGACGCAATTTCCGGCGCAGATGCCATATTAGGACTCCAATACATATCGAAGCAAGTTTTCAAGGCTAATGTAAAAGCTATACACATGTGAGTGGGCATTCGGTTTTTACTTCTTTTAATTAAATTATGACATTATTACACTATGGGAGCATCTTCTTTTATATTCCTTCTGGCTGCATGAGAATTGGCTGATCCTAATTTTACTGCTCTGGAGAGGGTTCCTGCTGTGCCGGTATCCACCAGTGAGGGGGATTCATCCATCGCTGTACCTGATACCTTTTGAAGTAGGTCCTGCCTCCTGGTTGATGCGATATTGTATGAGAAAGGCTTTTTAGCTCTGCAGGGTCACTCCATGGAGGTGAGGGGGCATTTCGTCTAGTGTCAGATCTCATCGTATTGTGCAAACACCAGCACTATCTAAGAACTATAAAACACCTTCACTGTTTAAGGTGTATTGGACATCACATTTTGGCTGGAATATATGGAGTTCATGTGACTTATTATATGTTGGGTCATTTATATATATTTTTAGGACTAATTTGGTCCATGTAGTTCATGTCACTTATTTAATTATTTATTCACTTATCTCCAATTTAGGGGTCACTGTTCTGTGGTTTTCATGTGTATTCTATTCATCACTATTTCTACTTTTATCCGTAAGTTTTGGCTGATTATTTTCTTCAGCAACAGAGTTGTGTTGCATAAAGCCTTGTGACTTAATTTTCATTATACACAGTTTCAACTGTTTTTTTTCACTTTCACCCATTTTTTATTATGCTCACTGTGAATACGTACATCTTGGGATTATTTCTTATAGCAACGATTTATTTGCATTATAGAAGTCTTGTGGCTTTATTTTTATCACTGTTCTTTTGGGATCCTATTTAACCGCCTCCCGCCCGCCATATAGTAATATGACAGACGCAAGGTGGTTCTCTCGTTCATATGACATCCTCCCATTCTAACTGCGCATGCGTGGCTCTGATCCACGGAAAGAGCTGAAGATGTCAGCTCAGTCATGTGATCAGCTGTGTCCAA